TCTAAAATGGAGTGAGGAGCAATAGAAGCATTTTTCTTTGTTAATTGATGAGCAAAATCTTTAAACCATGTATAGGTTTCAGATTCTTCATTAGTCAGATTCTTCGGGTTAGTTAAGAACACTTTTGCAGAAGGAGTGTAATGAGCATGGTTCAAGGGAACCGAGGAAGTCCATCTTGATCTAAGAAGAAGGTTGTAGGTGTTGCAGATTGGGAAGAAGAAAAAGAAGTAAATGGTGTAGAAGAAAGAGCTTCAGGAGTACAAATTTTGAAGTAATCTTCCTTAAAGTTTTTCCAAATATCTTCATGTATAGTACACCACCTAAGTCCTGGACGAGCTTTCAAAGAAACCCAACTGTAACGAGTACTTCCTTTTTCGATGGAGTTTCAGAACACAGCGAAAAGACAGAAAAATACCCGGGAAGAATAAGCGAACCCATAAGCTCGGCAAATTATTTCAAAAGTTTTTAAGAAACACCAACTGTTAGGATGAAGTTGAGAAGGGGCAACCTCTAGATGACGCAATACTTCTATTTGGAAGTCGGTAAAAGGTAATATGATCTTAAGCTCGGAAAATAAACATTTATAGACAAAAAAGAAAGTGTCATCACCTTGTCCGGAAGGTGAACAAATTCAGTCTTTTTTGCCGGGAACTGCAACCCGGAAAGAAGTAATTATGGAGTCATGAAAGAGAAGTATCGACTGTAACGCAACATGTAGAGTAGTCAGATTGTTCTCATAAGTTGAACGAAGTCCTAATGCTTCTTCATCAACCTATTCTAAACCCGCCAAGTTGGGAGGAAAAGCAAAGTGAGCGGGAAGTGAACGGTACGGGCTATTCCTCGGCATGTGCCTAGAAGGAAAGGCAGTGTTACACTCTAATTCGAAAAGGAAGTAATAGCTAATATGTTATCAGGATGTGGTTAAGGACGTAAAGATATTCTAATTCTTCCAGAACCCGGCAAAGGGAATGCAAAGGCTCTATAAGGGATAAATATCTTAGAGTAAGGAATACAATTTTTTGACAAGGAGGAGGTTGTCAATTGATCTAAAATGTCTTTGTTAGAGATGATATTAGGGGAAGTAGTAAGAGGGTTCATAGTAGGTAAATATGAATAGCAATAACGAAATGTAATAGGAAGAATATCAAGAATTTAAACATACAACAAGTTTTCTAGATAAAGATTTAAAAATAACAAGAACAAAGTGCAAGGCAAACTTACTTGGTAGAGTGTTCAACGATAATGGAGAAGGAGAACATAAGCCTTGAGGAAAGGTCACCACGAAGATAAAGAGGACGCATATGAAGGAGAAAGACGAAAAGACAAAGGCGGTAGAAGAAGAAAGAAGAGGAATCAACGAAGAAAATGACGAGAACGAAAAGGGAAAACTAAAGGGGTTAAAAAACGAAATGTAAAAAGTAAGTGGAAGTTTCAAATTTCGAAATGAAATGATTGAAAGATGTCATATCACGCTGTTTGGGAAAATCGAGATCAATTAAAAGAGGACATATGGCAGGTACAGACTGAAGAGGCAGGAAGCATTTAATGATAGTATCGTTGATTGGTTACTTTGAGCTTTTTAGATAAGACCACCCTATATCGTTAACTCGAGTATTTTATGTATTATACTCCGAGCTGGGGGGCTTAATGTTCTGGATTGGTAATACGGGCTTAGGTAAGCCCAAATAAAGCCCAGATCAGGATATGGTTAACCGGTTAAGTAATATTACTTATACTCGGAACCCGTTCTAGGAGACCAGAAGGTGACTTTAACCCGCGCTTTAGTGGCATACGTGGACCTTATCACGATCTTAATAAAGGTACTACTAATAACTACTCGCGATGATTATAACCGCCAGCCATATCATATATAAGGATCCTAAACAAGTTAATAAAGACAGATTATTTATTACATAACCCATTAATGTTCATACAAAACACACACACACACACACACATATATATATATATCTATATATATGGGTAAAACTTTTTTTTTTGGAAATACAATGAAAACTAAAGCAACATAAAAAAAAAGCCCTATACTGGGCACAATCTTGGGAGACTAACTCCCCTTAAGTAATTACGAAGCAATTCCAAACAAGCCGTTGGAGGGACATCCAGCACAATCAGCTGTCCATCCTGATGAGGTGCATGAGTAGCAAGCCAATCAGCAACAAAATTGCCTTCTCTATAAGTATGACTAAGCTGAATAATCCAGTCTCTTTGAAGCATGCTACGAGCTCGGATGATTAAAGCAGAAAGAGGATGACTTACGTCACACCCTTTTCTTATAAATTTCAAAGCCACCTTGGAGTCACCCTCCACAAAGACTCTCCTAAATCCCTTATGCCAAGCCAGATCCATACCTGTCAAGAACCCCCAAATTTCCGCTGAAGTAGAAGTACCACTCCCAAGGAATTTTGTAAAACCAGTTAACCAGTTCCCAACAGCATCCCTTATGACTCCACCACATGCAGTCCTTTGCCCACTGTCTATGCTGGAACCATCCACATTAAGTTTAACATAACCCTCAGAGGGAAAATTCCAGTGAATAAGACGTTCTTCTCTTCTAAGCTTCTGATGACCAATCTTAATAAGGGTTTCATTAGCCAATTGAATATTACCACAAGTATATGTAATGCGCCTAATGAGACCATACTTCGAGTTGCTAGTTTGATCAAAGATCGCCTTATTTCTTTCCCCCCACAAACACCAAGCTATCACCCTAAAATACAAAGGCCAAGTTCGATCAGTTTGAAACAGACATTTTAATCCTAGATTTGTCTGAATCCATAGGTGAAGATCCATGGAGAAAAAGTCACTACGGTTATCAGAAGGAACCCAATGCTCCCATAATTCCCTGGCACCAGGACAATCTCTAATGGCATGTAAACTATCCTCAAGATTATAATGACATCTCAGACACCCTGCATCTGTAGCCATGTGACGATGCACTCTACGAACATTAGTTAAAAGAGAACTAAAACTACCCTCATGTAATATAATTTAAACAAACTTTCCTACTCAAACAAAAATGCATATGGGTCCCATACATGTAATAAAAATAAAAAGTAAAAAATGATGGTGCGAAATCCAATGAGTCAGTAGGTAAAAAATCTTATATCATGTTACATGATACTCCTTTTTCCCTATATATATATATATATATATATATATATATATATATATATATATATATATATATATATATATATATGGGAAAAACATTTCTCAAGCAGCTTGAGATAAGTTTATCTCCGGCTACCCCAAAACTACGTCGTTTTATTTATTTATTTCCTTATATCAATTGATTTATCTTTGAATGGTTATGATTCCCTTTTCTCTCTCTCTTCCTTTAGCACCATTGATCCATCTTTGTACGGTTATGATTTAGTAGCTGGAGATAAGATTATCTCAAGCAGCTTGAGAAACGATAAGCGCATATACATATATATATATATATATATATATATATATATATATGTATGGGTTTAGTGGATGTACAGTGACTGCACCTAAGGATTGATGCAATCATATAAAACTACATCGTTTTATTGTGTGAAATCATTAAATACGGGGAATCATAACCATACACAAACGAAAATAAATTAAAACATTAAATATAGAGAATCATAACTATACAAAAGTGGAAATAAATATAGTATTTCTATTTTCTACATTTAATTTTGAACGCGAACTTCTTATATCTCAACCAAAACAACATAGTTTTCAGCTGACTGCACCAATGCTTATATACAGTCATATTACAAATCATTTTGCCTATATATATATAGGGTTAAGTTTATCTCATTTTACATGAGATAAACAATTTTTCTACACACACAAAAAGGTGGGTCCCACCACTCTTTTTTCTCTCTCCTCTTACGTATGGGTCCCACTTGTAATTTTATGTCTATAACATGAGGTAATCACTCTCCTACAACATAAGAAAAATATTTCCCATATATATATATATATATATATATATATATATATATATATATATATAAGGAAAAATTACTCTTATGCAACATAAGAGTAGTTTTATCTCCTACAGGTCCATCGAAAACCGTGACACTTTTTTTTTTTTTTTTAAATGGCGGATCCCACCACATGTGTATCTACAACATGAGAAAATATCTCTCACGCAACATAAGATTAAATGAACCTATATATATATATATATACATATAAATAAGTTTTAATATTTCTACAAAGAGTGTAGATAAGTTATCTACATTCGTTCTCAAAACGACGTCGTTTTGGGCTCAATGTAGATAAGTTATATACATTGATAAAAAAAAAAACGAATTCATATATATATACAAATGGTTCGTTTTTTCTACAGTCAATGTAGATAGAGACTTATCTACGAGCCCAAAACGATGTCGTTTTGAGACGAAAATCAATGTATTTTTGAGGCGAAAATCAATGTATTTTTGTAATTATAATTTATTTCAGGGTTATAATAGTCATTTTCATTATAATTTTTTAATTTTTCAATCCAAAACTACGTCGTTTTGAGAGCGAATGTAGATAACTTATCTACATTCACTTTAGAAACATTAAAACCTATATATATTGGGTTATGTTTATCTCACTTTACATGAGATAAACAACTTTTCTACACACATAAAAAAGAGTTGGGTCCCACCACTTTTTTTTTTTCTCTTCTTACTTATGGGTCTCACTTGTAATTTTATTTCTACAATATGAGGTAACTATTTTTCTACAACATAATAAAAATATTTCCCATATATATTTTGGTACATTTTTATTTTTAAAAGAACTTAGGGCTTGTTTGGTACACGAAATTCTTGTGAATTTTCAAAAAACTGAATTTTTCTAAATTTGTAATTTTCAGATATTATCATAAAATGAAAATAAAAATCATATTTCTGAAAATTGAAATTCCCATAATTTTTTTTTTTTCATCTATCAAACGCTTCTTTGAGACAATCCAAATCCAAAACCTTTTCTTTTTTAGGGTAGTTTATTAGGGTTTGCAACTCCGAACTCTGAATCTGAAGGCACCATGGGAAGGAAAGAGAAGCAGAAAACGAAGGCAATAGATCACCAAGAAAACTGTGAGGGAAACAACAATCTCGATGGTGCTTCCACGCCGTCGCTTGTGTTCAGCAGTGACGATGAGGAAGCAAACCAAGATCTGAGCCTCAAGATCGTCGAAAAGGCCTTGCGAATGCGTGGGGTGAAGCTCGCCCCCAACGACGATATTTCGAACGGTGACGGCGGTGTCGTTTCGTCTTTGCAGCAACCCGAACTTGCAGTGATGCAAATCGACGACGATTTGGATGGGCCGAATGGAATCGCTGCTTCTCAAGTGATGGAGAGTAAGAAAACGAAGTTGAGGGTGGAGTCCTATGATCAAAATGTATCTCTTATTCCTTGATTGGCTTTTTTTTATTATTTAAAATCGGGTTATTTTCTCTTTTTCTTGTTGTTTTCATGTAAAGTTGAAATTCGTTAGGGTTTGACTCAAATGGGTATGATTGAAACACACCCAAACTGTCCCTTAGGACATCCTTCATGTCTCAACCAGGTTATGATTAAATTGAAAGTCTAAACATTTTCTAAGAAGAAAACAAATGAACTGAAACAATGAAATATTTTTAAAAAAATTGCAGTGCAACATTTACTTAGAAAAGCTTATATGAAAATGTTGTTGAGATTTTTTAACTAAGAATCTGTTTTTGGATAAAAATGAATCAAATCAAAATGCCCACTTGGACAATTACATTTTGGGTAGTTTATCTTTTATCTTTTTTTTTTCCCAATGTTTTTCCATTTTCTGTAGGTTATTATAGCTGAAGAACCAGAGATGGACGGGACAATGAAAGCCACAGAGAATCATGAGTCTGTTGAAGCTAGTGTGGTTCAGATGGGCGACAACATTGTTCTACGAAAGCTGCTTGTGAGTTGAAAATTTTGATCTGAAATGTGATTTTGAAAATACTATGCCATGAGGAAGGCTTAGTTGGGTATATCACTCTGTGTTTCTGTTCTATCAGCGGGGTCCAAGGTATTTTGATCCTCCAGATAGTAGTTGGGGAACATGCTATAATTGTGGCGAGGAAGGTCATGCTGCCGTAAACTGTACCGCGGAAAAGCGAAAGAAACCATGCTATGTATGTGGCGGTTTGGGACATAATGCAAAACAATGCTCTAAGGTATGTCTACTTGCCATCTTTTTGTTTGTATATGAAGGCTTAAAGTGTTTTATTGAGATATGCTTGATGTTCTTGTAGTCACAGGATTGCTTTATCTGTAAGAAAGGTGGTCATCATGCTAAAGACTGTCCAGAGAAGCATATGAGTGCTTCTAAAAGCTTAACAATTTGTTTGAAGTGTGGAAATTCTGGGCATGATATGTTTTCATGTAGAAATGATTATTCACTGGATGATCTCAAGGTTGTTCTATTCCTTGTCCTTCTTTTCTTTTACTTGCAAATTTGCAAAAGTTTTTGGTTGAATTTACATAAGAATAATGGCTTACCTTGGATATGAATTGCTCAGTCAATGACGTTTTTACCTCTTTTTTCCTGATTAATTAGGAAATTCAATGTTATGTCTGCAAGAGATTTGGCCACTTATGTTGTGTCAATACTGCTGATGCAACACAGATAGAAATATCTTGTTACAAATGTGGTCAGTTGGGTCATACTGGTTTGGTAAGTTTTATTTAATGGTTTGTTGGCCTTGCCTGAGATAAGTATTTCTCTTTTGCATGATCTAAGCATATTTTTCTTGTATGATTCTTTCTTTACAAGGGAGTTTTGGTTTTTTTCATTAGGGGGTGTTTGGTACGTGAGTTTATTTTGGATTCCCGGAAAAGTGAGATTGGGAATGTTATTTTCCCACGTTTGGTAGAGGGATTTTAAAAATTTTCTCGGGAAAATAAGATTCTCAGTATTTATTTTTGGGAAGAAAAACACCATTGAAGAATACCTCCAGATAAGTGGTATTCTTGAATTCCCACCTGCTGGAAAAATTTGCCAATTATTTTGGACAAAAACTCTTCGTTCCTTCATTCCAAATTTTCCAATTCGTACCACCGGTCATCTTCGTGTCTTCGTCTCATTTATACGTTAAACAACCAGGCAGAACTAGAACTAGATAACATAATAAGTAATAACCACTAAACTTTGTGGCGTTTAGGGTTCTTCAGAGATCTAGTCTTGTTTGATGAAAGAAACAAATTTTTGGAATAATTCCTGAGCCTTCTGTTCGTTTGGGTTGAAAAGATGAAAGCAATGTTCCAAACCCCAATTCACAAGAAGCTCAGCATTCCCACACCATCCACTAAGCTCCTCAATATAATTCCTTCCGGCATTGAAGAAGTGGTCCTTCTTAGCCGCAAACACCAACACACACTCACACCCAAGCCTGCCAGATCCTATGTTTGGCCTCAGTTTCTATCTCCCTCTGAAGCTCCTTCACTCGATCCCTATCATTAGCAATGGCATAGGGTCTTCGGAGATAGAGCAATCACCTCTGATTCTGGATCTAAAAAATGAAAAAAAAAAGTGAGATGATTAATAAAAAAAAATTAAAGCTTGTTCACTAATATGGTTAATTTTTTGTTACCTGGCATTCCTGGAAGGTTTCGTTTTTTCTTGGTAGTGGGTTTTGGAGGTGCTATGTGATTACCAGAGGAAGAAATGGTAGCTTCCCTTGAATCTGTTGTTATAAGGCGTTCCTGGAAGGTTAGTTCTGTAAAAAGACCCATATTCCCAGCAATATTTGGCAATCAATTAAACATAGCATCAGGAAAATTGACCCAATATTCCGGGAATATTTTGGCCTACCAAACAACTTTTAAGTAACATTCCTGGGAAAGTCACTTTCTCACTATATTCCTGGGAATCATGATTCTCGGGCACCAAAAAAATTCTCCTCTACCAAACGCTCTCTTAGTGTTATCTTTTTCCATACTAAATAAAGTAAAATGTTTGCAGGTTTAAAATGTTATTAATGTAAATAAATGTGATTAAAACTAAGAAAAAGTTATAATAATCATTACCTAATTATTGCTTGGGGACATATATGGCAATGAAGAGCACCAAAGAAGGAAACCTATCTCTGTACCAAACCTAGATGCATCAATGACAGCACTTTGAACATCCTTTATTCCCTTCAATAGCTGTCCTTGGATTGCGTTAATTGTGATTTTCATCCCTAGGAAATGAAAGAGGAAAAGCACTAGGTAGTATATGGTAATTGGTAAGTTACAAGTGCTAGTTTGCATATGTTGTCCATATGATATATGCAGTCATGGCTAAAATGAAAGGATACTGCATCAACCTAACAAATGCATGGACACCTTCATATTAGTTACAGGGCATAGACATTGTCCACTGAATTTTTATGAATGAATAATTTTGATGATGAATTCATCATCAAAATTATTCATTCATAAAAATTCAGTGGACAATGTCTATGCCCTGTAACTAAGATGAAGCACTCCCTCCACTTTCTTCTTTTCATTGCCACAATGATTATCAATGTTTATCAACCCTCCACTTGTGAGGTGTAAGTTTACCATGTTTTGGTATTTTAAAATATCATCAAAAGGTGAATATATTACAAGAACTTTATTAAACAATAGTTAAATCTATGGCTAGCCGGATTGTTTCCTCAGATTACATGGAAGTGAGTATAATCTAGGTTATGATTGCTTTGCTATTGCGCGATAGATGTGGGTAGTGACGATTTGGATTAGCAGCGGTAGTAGCCATGAATTACAGTGAGATCAAGCCTTCCTACAGTAGGGAAGGGCAACTCCCCTCTCTCCCTCTATTTAGCTGGTCTTCCATGCATAATTTAAGGGGGTAAAATTGATTTTCAATCTCCTTTTCCTGATGTTATTGTTACACATTACCGAGTCCTATCTCTCTCAAGTCACTGCCTCTCTTTGACCCATTGTTCTCTCTCTCTCTCTCTCTCTCTTCCCCCTTTTCCGGCAATTCCACCAAGCCAACAATTTTATGGCTAGCCCACCACAGTTCCTCAGTTCGTCAGTTGCACTTCATTTTCTCATCTGCTTTGGAGTTATTTTACAATTTTCTGGCAAGGCCACATCTGTTTTTTCGTTTGGTTTGCCCTCTATTCACCACTTTGTTCCATGTTCTGGCAAGACCACCTCTGTTTTCTCTTCTGGTTTGGCCTCTGTTTACTACTTTGTTCCCTTTTCCGGCAAGGCCACCACTGTATGTGGGCTTCAATGTAGAGGCTATGTTTCTACTGGCTATCCGGCAGTGTTTTTTTAGAGTCAGCTGCTATATGCTGCTTTTTGAGATTTATAATTTTCAGTGTAGTTTGGGGTGGAGTGTCTTTTTGAAAAACCTTGAGGGGATGAGTGTAATTTGCTCAACTAAATATTACTGAACAATTTTGTTTTGAAGTTTGACCTGATACATGAAATGCTTCTTTTTAAATAAACTTTGTAGCATATATAAATTTGAGAATGAATTGGTGCCAGGCATGTTCAAGGTTGCGAGGTGAGACCACTGGTGCAGCCACACCTAATTCGTGTTATAGGTGTGGTGAAGAAGGACATTTTGCCCGGGAATGCTCAAGTTCTATCAAGGTACATTTCAGGCTAAGTATTAAGGTTACTATATTTTGTAATAGTTGTTTGGTAGTTGTTCTTATTGTTTTTTTATGTTTGGCATGATAATTATTTGTTTACCTCTGTGTCATAGAGTAAGTAGTTTGTTGGCTTCTGTATTTTCCTCCACAGGCAGGTCAGACCACTGGTGCAGCCACACTTCATTCATGTTATAAGTGTGGTGAAGAAGGACATTTTGCCCGGGAATGCACAAGTTCTATCAAGGTACATTTCAGATTACGTATTAAGGTCACTAAAATTATTATAGCTGCTTGCCTTTTCGTAATGTTGGTTTTTCACGTTTAGCATAATAATTTATTGCTTACCTGTATGTCTCATTGAGTAAGTAGTTTCTTGGCTGCTGTGCTTTTCTCCACAGGCAGGGAAGAGGGTTCGTGAATTATCAAACACAAAAAATAAAAGATCCTATAAAGAAAATGATTACATGGGACATAGGTCTGCACCTCATGATGTGGGTAAGGCTCGTAAAAAGAATTGGCCTCCTACAGAAGAAAGAGGATATACAACTCCCAAGAAATCAAAGAGTAGAGGTGGCTGGATGATGGAGCATCCTGCAGAAGGAGGTTTTACAACTCCGAATAAATTCAAGAGTAGGGGTGGCTGGATGACTGAGCATCCTGGGGAATTCTCTCCTTCCAAGCCCAAAAGAAGCAGTTGGAGGTCTCCGGGGACATCATCTACTAGAAGCACTAAAATTCATTCGTTTGGTGGTGGAAGTCATACTCCAAGTTCTAAATCTTCCAAGGCGTGGAAGGATCATGCTGGAACCTCAAAGTCCCAAGGATCAGCCAAGGCTTTTCATCATAGGTTTTCAGCATCAAGGTATGGCAATTCTAGTAGTGATGGACATAGAAATCACAACTGGTGGTAGCTTCCGAATATTCTGGATTTTGTTTTCTATTATTCCTTGTGTAAACACGTGAAAGGATATTTATGTTTTTCGAATTAATATTCATTTTCCCTTTCAGTTATTCGTTCAAAAATATGGTCGTAATCTTCCAATTCTATCTATCATTGATGGGTTGAAGGCATGTAACTTTCCTGTTAAAGCTTCATTTTTATGTTTGTATCGCTACCTTTGAATATCTTGCAAGTTAAGACGAATGGTGCGCTATGTTTATAACTTGAACTTATGGATCATTTACGAGCGCCATTTTTGGCAATTTTGGCTTTTGACATGGGGTATTTCTTTAATGCGATCGAGAATCTGAAAAATAAAAAGTTACACATTATCTTTTGGTTAAAAGTTTTGATCTGATGATAAGCACTTGCTCTTACTTTGACTTTTAGAAGTTGAACAGAACTATAAAACCAAACCATTGTCCCTTATTTGGTTTAGTTCTAGACCAAATTTATTGTGTTGTCAATTCATACAATTTCTTTAGTAATTATAACGTCTTCAGACAAGGTGTAGTAGCTGCCTTCTATCTCTCTCTCTCTCTCTCTCTCAAACTGTCTTTCATTCAAACTTTCGTCTTACGAAGCAATCTTCTATCTAAACAAAGCGAAATGTACTTTTCCTTTAATGAGAGAAGAGATTTTTTTGTAGCAACTAATTAATATTATGTTTTATCGGTAAGATATAATTATAATTTTAAAAGTTATTTTTTTTTTCTCATAAAGTTGTCTTACTCGTAAGATATACTTATAATTTTAAAAGTTATTTTTTTTCTCTTTTATCAGTTATATTTAATAGTAAGATATGTTAATTGGTAGTTGCAAAAATACTCTTCTACGTTAAAGGAGAAGTTGGGGATCCTTAAACAAAAGTAGAACGACCGTTTGTATGTATCATTAATTAAAATCATGAAAGATAATGTTAGCGGGCTTTACCCGGATTTGAAATTCTTACGATACAATTTGTGACCAAGGCTAAAACTTGACTTGCCTGGTGATTAGTTTCAACTTAGCGGAGAAATACCTCGTAGTCTTACAAATAAGTTGAACAAGAAGGTTCAACTTTATATTCAATGTTGAAGTTTCTTGTCCCAAAAATTTTGGGTCAGGTTTTATCATTGGTACATGTAATGCCCGGAAATTTTGTACCAACTTTTATATCTATAGGTTCATCTGTCTAAAACCTTAAGCATGTGTTTACTTCTAAGCGGCAGAGTAATTGACATGGTCTTAATGTTTTGTTCATGCTTTTGCCAAAATTCCGGTGTCTTTCTATAGAAGCCTTGTATGTCAAGAAGGGCATTTTCAACTTTTTGTAATAAAGGCATCCATTACCACTACAAAACCCATTTATTTCCCCCATTTCAGCAACCTCACGAAGCCTTTCTTTCTCCCTCTCCAAAGATTTACCTTCGGCCATCCCAAACCTTTCTCTTCAGAATCTAGCCTCTCTTAGGCATCACCACTACCTACTACCACCATTCTCTTTATTTCCTTTAATTTTTCCAACTTGCCTAGCATATTATTTGGAGCTAGGACAGAACTTCCTCCCAAAGTTCCTGCTTGAAGATAAAAATTGAGGCTAGGGTTGAAAGAACAACTTGAGACTTTAGCTCTTAGTGTAACCTACGACTGGAGCTGAGGAGTGGAGACAGAAAGTCAGAAACAAGTTCAAACCAAGAGATTTTCTGCATGTAAGGGAGGAGGTCTAAAATTTGGAGAAGTCTTGAGTGGGTTGCTTCTTGTGGTTGTTGGTTAGCCACAACTAGGTAAGTTTATGAAAACTCCTCCATTTCTGCTATTTAAATTTTCGCCCATGTACTGTGAGTGTGGATGGTTGAGAGATTCAATGTTGAATCGGTATATTGGTGTGTTAATTCATGGAAATCATAATGCATGTGTTATTTTTTTTTTCAAGTATACTTGCATGTGTGTACCGTTGGGATCTATAAGCCCACTATGTTTCCTTTGGGGATGAAGTCACTATATGGATGCTACCCCTAGCTCAGGTAGAGACCAAGCTAAGAGGCACTGTTCCAAGTATGAAGCAAGCAATCAACAATGGGGTCAGGTGTGTGTATGAGTGACACAATATAAATGGGCATAATAACGATACATAAGATACCTCAGATGTGTGCCCAGGGAGCTTATTTATAGGGGAGGGTGATGTGAATCTTGTGTGGGTTGGTGAGGAGGGGGTCAACCCTCCTTAAGATCTGCCAAGGGTGGCAGATGCTACTGGGAGTGGCAGGCGCTACTATGATAGCAGCGATGCGCCCCCTGTGCCTGGCGGTGTCAGCGTGCGACAAAGGGTAGTTTCCTCTTATGGTATCTGGGGCAGTCACCTTTGGGGGTTGGGTCCCAAGATGGGACATTTTGGTGTTTCCCCTAGGGAGTGTCGTCGTGTTGGGGGTTGGGGGGCTGACAGTTGGTAGGGCTGACGTGGATAGGGGGTTGAGATTGGGCTTGGACCTTTGGGCCTGTGTTGTTGGGCCATCCGGAACAGGAGCCCCCCAGCTTGGTAGCAAGCGTAGGTTGGTGCCAAGGTAAATGGGCTTGGGCGACGCCTTGCTGGCGATCTGAGTGGTTGGTATAGGTGTGGTGAGGGATCTCTTGATGACTCGGTAAGTACTTGGAGTCTTGGCGGTTCGAGGTGGGGTTTCGTACCATTTGTATCTTTGGCGGGTCGCGTGATTTGCTGGGGGCTTTTTGGACCTTTCACCTTCTCTGGCAGGAAGGGTAGCTTTTCAGTTTTCGAGGAGAAGTAATGATGGATGCTTCCATCATTGCAATTAACTGCAGGCACTCAAACGTCACAAAGCACGACGCATTAATGCGACGTGAGGGGTGTCTTGTCCCCCTGTAATTACCATTAGGCCCCTCATCACAACCGCCTATTATCTGACGGTTGTGTCATCCTACGGTCGAAATGGTGGGATGCTACATGTGTATGCCATCCTGATCCTTCTCACCCTATTTAAAGGAGGTTTTTCCCTCCCTGAGGATCTTCTTCACAAATCTCAGGCTCTTCGCGTTCCTGCCTTCCTTATTTGCGCTTTCTTTCTTTGTGAGAGTGCTCGTGCTAGTCTTCCTTTCTTCATTCTCTGCGTTATCTCAGGTACAGTGTTTCTGGCTTGTAGCTTTGATATTTCTTTAAATTTCTTTAGCTTTGCTTCCCTTCTCCTTTTTCTTGTGATGGTCAAGTTAACAGACTGGGCTGGTCTTGCCTGAGTTGGAGGTGGATGTTAAGGAGGAAGAGTTTGATGAAGCTTTTGACACGCTCGATGGCTGTACAGTGGGGCCGGCTATGCAGGAATACCTTGCTAGTCGAGGTGGGGAAAGCAGTAGCGTTACCCCATATCGATATTTAATTATTGGGGTTGAGTAGTTACCCCATGGTAGGATACCAGAGCTTCTGGGTTTCAGTGAAGAGGAGATTCTACGTCTCTTGCCGGAGAGGGCTTTGGGACCTGTGGTTCCGTATTCTGGTGAGGCGTCTGGTTCCCGTCTCAAAGGTGGGCGCCAGGTGGTGACTGGTGAGAACGCTTCTGGATCTGGTAGGCGCCAGTCTGCTGGATCTGGAAGGCGACGATCTGGTCTGAAGGGGTTGGGCCTCGCCCTTAACGGAGGAGTCATTATAGGTCTTCTGGTCGTTCTTATGATCTGAGGACCGGTTCGCGCCGCCGTGTCTCGCGACACTCAGTTTTTGGAGCAGGGCGACTTGTTCGGCCTTTATCTTCTATTAACCGCCTACCGCGAAACCGTCCATTAGAGTATTATTACAAGCCTCGCCCCTTAGGGACAACCCATCCCACTGTTGAATCTCTGGTCGCCTTGTGCACATCTCGTGGCCATATTCCCAACATTTCCCAGTCCTTCCATCGCCGTAAATATGACGAATCCACTGACAACCGATTAGGTAGATACCACCCAGAGGATGGTCGACTTGTAAGGTATGGCGTGTGGGATGCCATTTATGAAGACCCATGGCTTTATAAGATACCGCCTGCGTGGTGGCCTTCTTCTTTAAGCTATTCAGATTTTTACACATCGAGCTCTTCGGAAACCTCTGACTCTTCTAGTAAGTTTCTTGTGTTTGAGTTATTTTTTGATTGAGTTATTGGTAAGGGGATGCCGGTGGTCCGGGGAGTAGGAGTTGGGTGATACGGTGGTTCAGAGTTTGACTCTTTGTTGATCTTCTTGGCGTCGATTGAAGTGTTTGGCGATTGACTGTGTGTTTGTCACCCCAAGTTTGATTTGAGGGTATTCTCCTGACTTATGATGGTGGCACCAAATCATGAACGCTTTTTAGAGAGGGATTGGGTGGCATCCTCTTCATCTTGTTATATCAGTGGGGCTATCTTGGACCAGGCTTATCAATCAGAAGGCAATTTTGATTTTACTGAAAGTGCGGAAGACGAGATGAAGTGGCAAAGCATTGCGGTCAGGGGTGCTGATCGAGTTTGTGACAAGCCCCGCCGTAGGGCGATCTCTCGATGGCGGTTCATGGTATACAAGGGGCTCACTTTACGGATCAGAAAGTTAGGTTTCCTTTATCTGAGTTCGAAATGAGGGTGTTATCCCATCTACAGGTTGCGCCTTCTCAATTGCACCCTAATGCTTGGGCGTTTGTTCGGGTCTTTGAAAAGATATGCCGATATTTTGGATGGGTGTGCTCTATGCGGTTATTCTTTTATTGTTTCCAGGTGTCGCCCTCGTTGAAAAAGCTTGGCTGGGTTTCACTGAAGGCGGGGACCAGATTGGGATCGATATTTGCTCAGTACGCCAAATCATACAAGAACTGGAGGGGAACTTTTTTTTGGATTCAACCAGTACTTGGCGAGGGGGAATTGCCTTTTTTCGTTGACAGGGAGAGTGGGGAAAGTCGGTTTGAGCTATAATGGGCCTTGGTCCATTATGAGATTCTCGCCAGTCAGTATTCATTTGGGCACGAAGCTTTGTCTCCAGAAGAAGTATAGGTAGTGGATTGGTTTGTGGAGGTGAAGGGAGGCCTTGATCGGTGGTCTACGAAGAGAGTGTTGTGTTATGGAGGTGTGGTGGTGATTCGTACCGTTTATGGCTATGTTGTGAGTATTAACTATTTTTACTAACACTCGTGTCTTTCCTATGTTGCAGTTGAGAGCTTGTCGATGGAAACGTTGAGACTTGCACGTCAGGCGGCTGCCAAGG